AGTGGAAATGAGCATTGCTTCTGTCAACTCTGAGGGTTTAGCAGGGCTTAGCGCATAGTCAACACCAAACAGCTGTTAGCTTTTGTTAATTTTGAGCAAGTTTCTTACATTCTGAGCCTTAATTTCCTTTTGTCTAAAATGAAAGTACTGCCCAACGCCTTGGGCTTGTTGTGAGGATTGTTTAAGAAAATTTTGAAAAATATAGAGTGGACCTGATACAGACACACAGTAAGCACTGAATAAATAGCAGTTGTTATTCATTTTCTCTTAGTGTTTCACACCACTTTGTAGTCATCTATAACTTTCTTCTACCCATTCTACCAAATCGCTTGACATCAGATATTTACAGGTATTAACAGTTTTTTATCTCCCGGAAGGTTTTGTTAGCGATTCTTTTGACGTATATGAGGATAGCTGAAGACCTACTTGTATATTGAACTAAAATGTTTATCCTGTTTAATCACAAGTTTCTCTGATTTTTACTTGTTTCTTTGTGGGATTGCAGTTTCCACTGTGCATACAACTAGGTCCTGTCTTTCACTTCATCTAGGGAGTTACATGAATATTGTATGCTGTTATGTTTGCAGGATGGTAAAACTTTTATTTTACTTCTAGAAAAAATGTAGAAGACTTCACTGGACCTAGAGAAAGAAGTGATTTGGGATTCATTACATTTGATATAACTGCAGATATCCTTTAAGAAAATATTTTATTGTTTTTTTATAGCTTTATAATGATATACATGTTGATTATTGATTTTGTGGACAATGAATATGACTATCAACCAAACCTTGGAAATTTCTAGACCTATGTTTTCATCAGTAAAATAGTATTAATACCTCTCATTCACAACTGGAGAAAACTTATTTATAAATTCGGGAGTTACTGTGTGAACATACTCTAAATTCTTCACAGAAACATTATATACGAGTTCTGACAATTCGTAAACTCACCCTAGAAAAAGCGCTACATACCTCATTGCTGAATATCGCTATGGTCACCTTCGAAGTACTCCCCTTGGGAAGCTATGCACCGAGGCCAGCACCTAGTCCACCCTTCAAAGCAGTTTTGGAACTTTGTTTCTGGAGTGGCCATCAGAGCTGTCGTCATATTACCCTTAATATCCTGAATGTCATCCAAATGTCTTCCTTTCAATATTTCCTTTATCTTCAGGTAAAGAAAGAAGTCACTGGGGGCCAGATCAGATGAGTAGGGAGGGTGTTCCAATACAGTTATTTGTTTATTGGGTAAAAACTCCCTCACAGACAGTGCCCTGTGAGCTGGTGCATTGTCGTGATGCAAGAGCTCCTTCGGGACCATTTTTGCACACACCTTTCTCATGCCAAGATTTTCAGTTAAGATTTTCCTGTTTCTCTCTCGATGTTTANACATCTCTGTATCATTTGCAACACAGTAGGCATTCAATAAATAATTGCTTTATTGAATAAATTGTGGCTGCCTGGAAGATAAAAATTTCGGTTTTAAACTCAACTGAGGATCTCTCCATTTTCATTACTTGGCTTTATTCCAATTTAGCAGGGATTTTCCCTTATTAATGCTGTACTCTCAAAGCTGGAACTGGCACATAGGCGCTCAGTAATAATCCTAACTGTATGGCTGTACGAAATTAATTGAATGTTAATGAAAAAAGCAAAGAAAATAAAAGCTCAACAATGGACAATATAAGCCAGCATCAGGATCAGACCATCATTTTCTGGTTTGCACCTATCATATTCTAGGACAGGTGTTAACCTCTTTTGGTTTATGGATGCAAAGTGTAAAAATTAATAATTTGAGGTTACTGAACCTTCTGAATCCATTTTTATAATTACAAAATCTCTAGCTGTGAAAGGAACAAAGGTGTTGGCAGATGGTATATTTAAGGTCAGGGACTGGCACAGTCTGAACCTTAAAGCCCCTCAGGGCCCTTATGTATTGATGGCTTACTAATTTTAAATTCTTATCCATTGTGCTGTATAGCAATTCCATAGCCATTTGTTCCCTTTGATCTTAAGAACCCAGAAGATCATCCTGTTGGTTATAGGAAATACCATGTTAAAATATTAGAATTTATAGCATCGACCCTCATCGTCTAAAACAGCTTTAGCTGCTGTTGGAAGGCAAAGCATTAATAGTAAGTGGACTCAGGTGGGGCGTGGAAAGTAAAGCAGACTGCGTTTTAGGGACCCGGGAGGCCTCTCTTTTTCTTCCTCCCCACATCCTCCAAAAAAAGCTGAAGTTCTAACTTTGACCAATCTGACAAAGGGGAAGACCCGGCGTTTTGTAAAGTGCTGCTTCCAAACGCGACACGTCAGGACACACTCCAAACTACCTTGCTTTGCTGCTGGTGTTAAGTACAAGTTAATGAAACATAAGCATTCACGAAGCCGCAGTCACAGACTACCTGACGCAAGAATCGAGAACAGACGACCAGCGAGCCAAGGAGCCTGAGGAGGGGAAGCAAGGACGGAGGAGGCGGGTCTTCCGCGGCGAAACTCCGCTCCTCCTCTGCTCGTCGCTGATTGGTGGTTGAAGGAGGGGCGGGCCCGCGAGTGGCTCAGTCTTCGGCTTTCGGCGCGGTCCCGCCGCCTGGTGGGTGTGTCCCGGGAGGCGGGGGCGCGCGCGCTCGCCCGCGTNTGTGTCAGACCTATAACATACTCCATTGCAGCAACTTCTTTAGGTAGCTTGGTGCTCCATGGACACTTTAGATACCCCTAAAAAGAATATAGTTGAGTACAATACTTGTCTCTTTAGGTTTATCTCCTTTTTCTACCACTTAACTGTCTATGTGCACACAGCTTTACTTAAAGTATTTCCTCATAAAACAATTTACTCCTCTTCCCTTTCCTTAGCTGAATGTTACTGAAGAATAATTATTTGCAGATAAGACACAAACTTAACCTTTATCTATGGTTCCTCCCACTTTTCAAAAAAAATAACTATGCCTGTCTTCCCCAGTTGACTACTCCCTATTTATTCAAGTGCTGACAAGGTACTTCAAGAGCTCCTCTCAGTACTGCCATTAGGTTCTGAGTAGAAATTATCAAAAAGTAGAAGATAAAAAGTGCTAAATTTTAATTTGAGGTCTATAGTAATACTTCAGATAAATAACAGCCTCAGTTTCCTTCTGTGAGCGTGGTATTTGACAAGCTACAATGTGGATCAAAAACCATTAAGAGTGAAAGAAGAATACTTTATAATGCTAAAGTCTACCATTCATAATGAAGATATAACAGTTACACAAAAAATTTTATAAAGCAGAAACTATAAAGATGAGGGGAGAAACAAACAAAAACAAATTAATTTGGAGACTTTAACACATCTCTCTCAATTCAACAAAATTAAGATAATTAATAATGAATAAGGTTATAAAAGACGTAACATCATAAAGTAGATCTCATAGATTTATGTCAAACTCTATACGATTAATAGAAAATACATCACCTTTTCAAGTGCACATCGAATATTCACAAAAGTGACATTTTAGGCCACAGAGAAGATCTGAAAAATCCAAAGAATAGAAATAATAAAAAGAGCATTCTCTGCCTACATGAAATAAAATCAGACATTAATTTAAAACAATCAAAAGGAAATATATCCTTCCTCCCGGAAATTTAATACACACACACACACACACACACACACACACACACACACACACACACTTCTCAAAGGAGAAATATGAAATTTAAACACAACATATTAGAAACTTTAGGATACAGATAAAGCAGTTATAATAATAAAAATGAAAGTATATCAATTAAACACATAATTCCTAAAACTAAATATATAAATACTAAAGGAAAGTGGAATTAAAAAAAACTTGATAATATTTAAAAAATTAATGAATAGGAAAACAAAGAGCTGTGGAATTAATTAGGAAATATAAAAGACAGCTCTTTGAAAAAAATCAACAAAGAGAAAATACTAATTAAAATAATAGAGAAAAAGGAAGAAAGCACAAACAAGTAATTAGAATTGATAACTAATTAGCATTCAAATAGAATAGCATCTCATGAGAATTTCTATCAGATTTTAAAGATCAGATAATCCAAATGCTACTTAAAATATCCCAGTGCATAGGAAAAAGGGGAGAACTTACAAATTCATTTTCTAATTTGAGTATATTACAGCCAAAAAATAAAAATCAATTTCACCTATATTTATGACAAAAACCTAAAAGGATAATTAGCAAAGAAAGTCCAAGAGCACATTAAAAATTAATTTATCATGACCAAGTGGAGTTTACGCCAGAAAGCACAATGGTTTAGTATTAGGAAATCCATTCATATGGCCCATCACATTAATATAGTGTCTTAGTCCCTTTGGGCTGCTTTAACAAACTACTGTAGATTGGGTGATTTATACACAACAGAAATTTTTTTCTCACTGTGCTGGAGGCTCCGGAGCCCAAGATAAAGTTGCTAGGACGCGCTCAGACAATTAAATTTGCGAACTCATCCTAGAAAAAGTGCTACATACCTCATTGCTGAATATACTATGGTCACCTTCAAAGCACTCCCCTTGGGAAGCGATGCACCGATGCCAGCGAGTAGTCCACCCTTCAAAGCAATTTGGGAACTCTTTTTCTGGAATGGCCATCAGAGCTGTCATTGCATTACCCTTGATGTCCTGAATGTCATCAAAATGTCTTCCTTTCAATATTTCCTTTATCTTGGGATAAAGAAGTCACT